TAATTACAAACACAATTCACGTTAATAAAAAAACATTAACCAATTTACTGTTTTGACTTTAAGGCCCTTGGGAGTCTGGGATATCAGTGCCTTCATCAGAGGACTTTGTCGGCATCGTCCACATCGACAGCCAAGACCACTTGCTATGTTTCTGCTTTCTTCCTGCCACTTTTGGTGATTCCTTCAGTACTTTTTGGGGCAGCTGCTGCCTCCACAGGTAACTACTGTTTCTAAATACTGTCACGATCTGTCTGTGTTGTGTTTTGTCTTGTCTAGATCTGTCTTTGGTTTCCTGTCTGTGTGTTCCCTCCTACCTGATTTCCTGATTGTGTTCACCTTGTGCCCTTGTGTTTTCTCCTCACCTGTCTCTTGTTTCTTTGATTAGTCCTGTGTGCATTTAGGTTCATTTTTTCCTGTTAGTCTTTGTGAGATCCTTGTTTGTATTTGACTGTGTTCATGGGGAAGAGTTCTGTTTGTTTCTATTTAACCTTGAAATAAAGGTATTTTCTGTGAAATCTGCATTTGGGTCCTGTCTGCTTCGCTCTACCCTGACAAATACTGAGGGAACCTGTGAAAACTGATGTATTTAAGCACCTGTCGTTTTCGTATGGTTTGGTTCTGGATTTCCTGCTTCCCTCCTAGTCCTCCGGGTTTGTTCTAGTTTTGTTTGCTACTTTTCCTTTTGTTCGACTTCACCTGTTTCTTCAGTTTTTATATTTTTCTACCAGCTTTTAAGTTACTAAAAGCTCGCCTTTAGTTCACATTCTTACTGCTTTTGGGTCCTTACTCTTTCCAAACCCTGACAAGAACTGCCGAATAACATAGTTTAGAAAACCAAACTAAGAAACACTTATATCTTTATATAGACTGCAGGCTTTAGCAAATGTGCTAGAAAAGAAGATATATTTCAGCAAAATGCAATTTGAAAAGTTGACTTTGTTCAACACCTCACATGATATATATTCACATTACAGTAGGCTTGTCTCAGAATCTCACAGATAATGTGAGCCTTTTTCAGTCTCTCCTTCTGTGTCCATGCTTTAGACTAGAACATGACTTCGTACGGTTCTCCGTCTCCATATGAACGTGGGGAATCAGCTCTAGTTCTGCCCCTCAGCCTCCAACATCTCACTCCTTCCTTCATCTTCATCATCGGTATTGGAGCTGTGGCCGCTGCCGCGATGTCGTCCCTCGACTCCTATTTGCTTTCTGCAGCTTCTGTCTTCACCTCCAGCATTTACAAGAACATCCTGAGACCCCAGGTGAAGAAAATATATACTTATTTTGGTGTGGTACATTACAAAGAAACCTACATGAGAATAGTTGATTGATAGTTTAGTTTGTACTTTGCAAAAAAAGGAATGGACTACAGGAGAATCATAGAGTGGTGTTATAGAAAACAAGATAATTTGAAGAATCAATGAGATATGAAAGCAATAAAATAGTTATTTAAAAAAGGACAGTCTCAATAATGTGCTGTTTATCTGTTCTTCTTCCTCTCTTCTTCTTCAGGCGTCGGACAGGGAGATCCAGTGGGTGCTCCGAGCCTCCGTGTTGGTCGTGGGCGTGTTTGGTTCATCGCTTACCTTCCTGAAAAACAGCATCTTATTGTTCTGGTTCATCGGAGCTGAAATCGCCTACGTCATACTCTTCCCTCAACTCGTCTGCGTCCTTTTCGTCGACATCTCCAACAGTTTACGGGGCTGTTATGGGGCTTGTTGTTGGGATAATGGTACGACTGCTAAGTGGAGACCCATCATAGGGATCGCACCATCCTACACTTCCCAGGATGCACTCTTGAGAACGGTGTTTACGTCCAGTACTCTCCAGTTAGAAACCATCTCCATGCTGTTCGGCCATTGCTGCCATCTTGTTGTTCTCCTACTTGACTTCTGTGCTTCTTCAACAAGGCCATCTTCCTGAGAAGTGGGATGTGTTTAAAGTGAAAACCCAGCACTCATTGCAACCAGACACACCAACAGATGGCGCTACAGAGCCTAATGAGAGTGAGAAACTGAATTGGAAGCAACTCTCAGACAGAGGCATCAACGCTTAATGGCTAGCACAAACTGTTAGCATTCCTGTGTGTATAAGATAAGATGTACTTTATTTATCCCAATTTGGGAATTTGTTGTCGAGGAGGGGTTGTACGGTGGCCCTTAAGTGCAAGACACCACAGCATTTCAGAAAACACTACAGCATTTCAGAAAACACTATAGCATTTCAGAAAACACTATAGCATTTCAGAAAACACTACAGCATCTCACATTGGACGGAAAGGGTATTCCTTTAGGGAGAACACTTCTTGTTTGTGATTGGACAGAGCCAGCCAGAGAAGCACTGCTGTGATTGGTTGTTTTGCTGCCAGTCAAGAAATGATGCTTCGTGATTGGTCAGCACCCGACAGCCCAACATGTCCCAACACATCAGCCGTTAGCACACACTCAGAGCTCACAGCTCCTCCTCATATATGTTCAGAAACTGGACAAAAGTGAAACATGTACAAACCACAGACTGTCTGTGTCATGGCGAATACAGTCGCTGCTTTATTTATGTCTGTATGACGTTGTTGTGAGTGTGGACGGACCAGCTACAGGTTAGTTTAGCCTGATCGATCCGATTCCGATAGGATTTACATGGAGATACTCCCCGCCCCCCTCTCCAGCGCGTCTTGTTTGAATGACAGGAGTAAACACAGCTGACAGCCGCGGAATGAATAAAGCATTAATTCATGGTTTTTAAGGGGCTTATCTCCATGTAAATACTATGGTAGACTACCCAATATTCGCATCGCTCTAATCGCTCGAGTTTCACCGCGGCTGTAAATCCAATGGGAGATACCAACCAATTTTACCGTGATTTAATTGTAATACACGTTTCAAAGTGATGCCGAAGTAACTACATACTGATACCGGTTAGTAAAAACCATGAATTAATGCTTTGACAAGTCTGCAGACAGACGGCAGGCGAATATCCTTTTAAAATGCGTGTTTTCTGAATGGAATCGGATCCATCAGGCTAAACTAACCTGTAGCTGCTCCGTCCACACTCACAACAACATCATACAGACATAAATAAAGCAGCGACTGTATTCGCCATGACACAGACAGTCTGTGGTTTGTACATGTTTAACTTTTGTCCAGTTTCTGAAGATATGAGGAGCTGTGAGCTCTGAGTGTGTGCTAACGGCTAACGGCTGTTAGCACACACTCAGAGCGTTGTGTTGGAGCGTTGTGTTGGGACATGTTGGGCTGTCGGGTGCTGACCAATCTCAAAGCGTCATTTCTTGACTGGCAGCAAAAACAACCAATCACAGCAGTGCTTCTCTGGCTGGCTCTGTCCAATCACAAACAAGAAGTGTTCTCCCTAAAGGAATACCCTTTCCGTCCAATGTGAAATGCTGTGGTGTTTTCTGAAATGCTGTAGTGTTTTGTGAAATGCTGTAGTGTTTTCTGAAATGCTGTAGTGTTTTGTGAAATGCTGTGGTGTCTTGCACTTCAGGGCCACCGTAGAGTTGAACCCTAATCCAAAACATGGCAATCAGAAGCACAAATAGGTTTTAGGTTTGGGTTTTCGACCTGGCAATGGGGCAGATAGCGGTTGTGGGTGATGATCAATAGAGTGCTAACTCCTGGGACGGCTACAACAATTTAATTTAGGATGTTTTGGTTTATTTCAAGTCCTTAGGCATTGTGCTAAACACTTTTGCACAGTGCATGAGGTGCTTGTTTGTGTAAATGTAAGGTACAACTGTTATTCCACTGTGATGTAAAACAAACAAGACTCATGTGAATTTGAAACCTTTGAAGCAGTTCACACTAAGGACACCATGAGTGACGTTGTTTTATATGTATGCTTTTTTCTTGCTGAATCCATATGCCATAAACGAGATGCGTATAAATGTAAATAAAACGTCTGAAAAAGGTTCCAAGTATTTAATGTGCTCTTGAGTTGGAAAAAGGTAAGTTGAATTGGTTGCAGAAGTGGTTTTCAATTCAATCTGGAGAATAACAGCAACAGGAACACAACTCCTTCCTTGTTGTTATTGTTGTTGTTGTTGCTGTTGTTGTTGTTGTTGTTGTGAAGGATCATTCTGGTGATGCTGGAAAATGAAAGTGGCGTCCTGGCGTGGATGGACTCGGGATCTGGGTGTTGGAAAAAAGGCTGACTGGTTTGCAAAGATCAACCACCTGCTATCAAACTGGCACCAGCACAAGTGTACCTCCTTTCAGTGGAAAAGGGTTATTAGTGAAAGATAATATGAAGAGATGTTTGTAGACAATTTTAAGTTTGTACCGAATTGACCCAAAGAACTAATTGGAGTATGGACTGGTAGCTGGATAGGTGCTATTTCGCCTCCTAGTCCCTGCCGAGATGCCCTTGAGCAAGGCACCGGACCCCCAACCAGCCTGCATGTGCATGTGTGCAACATACCTGTGTACTCTTAAAACGATGTATGTAAAAACCCCTAGGGGGATAACTAAAGGTTCTTCTTCTTCTTCTTCTTCTTCTTCTTATAATATAATTATTCGTAGAAAGTGATAATCAAAAGCATGTATCAAAATACGCGACTTGGCAGTAAGGCATGTGTTTAAAGGGTTTAGATTAGCCTCATGTCCCCATGCAGCAGACATGACAGCAAACCAGTCATTTCAGCTCCACGTCCGTTACTTGCTGGCAGCCTCTTGCACTTGCTATCCTTTTTATTTAGCAGAAAAACTAAAGTAGACCCCAGCAAAGGTGTTCCTTTTAATGCTGTGATTGACAAAATGTGTTTTGCTTTGTGCTTTTTGTTATGGGTGTGACATTTTGTATTGCCGAGATGCTTTAATGACATTTCTCGATGCTTATCAAGTATTACACTTTGCTCAGGCATTTTACCAGAGGGCATTTATGTACATTGACGCTTGAAAGGTTTTCATTAAACCGGTTTGTCTTCTTGATTTACTTCACTCAGTCAGCCAGACGTCAGCTAGTAGGGGAGTCAGTCAGCATCTATCATGGCTGTTAACATCCCAGGATGATAGCCATGGTGATTTTCTACCTGCTGGTTCTTGGGACCGGCATCTGGGCTTCTTTCAAGTCCAAAAGGGAACAGAAGAGAAGCGCAGCCACTGGGATGGATATGGCTCTGCTGGGAAACCGGAGCATTAGCTTGGTGGTGGGGATCTTCACAATGACAGGTGAGGAGGAAAACTGGAATTAATAATAATAATAATAATAATAATAAATTGATTTTATATAGCGCATTTCATAGTCTCAAAGTCGCTTTACAGTTTGGAGGGGTGGGAGAAGGACAGACGAAGACGAACGACAGACAGGGGTCGATGGGGGGGGGGCTATGAGTATACTGATGAGAAGAGATGGGTCATGAGGCGGGATTGGAACAGGATGAGGGACTCAGATTCACGGAGGTCTTGGGGGAGGGAGTTCCAGAGCTTCGGGGCTGCGACAGAGAAGGCTCTGTCCCCGAAGCTCTGGAGTTTGGCCTTGGGGATGGAAAGCAAACCGGCTGAGGTGGATCTGAGGGACCGGGGGGGTTGGTAGAGGATGAGGAGGTCAGTGAGGTAGGGGGGGGCCAGATGGTGTAGGGCAGGGATGGGCAACTTGGATGGTGGTGGGGGCCACATAATGTATGTACTGGCCACCAGGGGGCCGCAGATTCACTTGGAACACACACACACACAAATTCCATGTATTGTATGTAATTATTAACAAATTAAGTCTGACATCTTCATTGACATTTTACAATCTTTCAGGGAACATCCTCTAATAAGCTCACTAAACAAATATCAGTTCACAGAAATGTTATTTAATTTTTACAAGTGGCATGTTTGTATTGAACAGGTTATTTAACAGTGGAATAAAACTATTTTAAACTATTGGAAAGCACGGAAAATGTGTGTGCATTAAGATTAACCATTAAGATGACATAAACATGAAGAAATGAACACTAACCCAGACATTAGTTGTCTAACTTGAACCTAAGACACTTGTAGCCTCTGCTGATGCACAACAAGAGGAATGTCCACACAGACACCTGTCAACCCGCACTCTGCTGTTCCTCAGCGCCGCTCACCCTCCCTCCCGCTGAAATTATGAATGAAAAGCGTATAGTAATCATAGATAAGACGGCAGGGTCCGTGACAGTTTGTTTTCATCTGATTTCAAATAAACAAAGTCTTGGTTTTTAGAATATTAAACTTGTTTTGCCAAATTCAGATGATAAATACAACTTTGAAGCTTGTAAAGGCATAATTACAAGCGGTAACTTAACGTCACAGCAGGCATAACAACAGCCGGTGCTTCTTGTGAGTGTTTCCCCGGGAACCAAACACAATACACACAAACGCGTCACAGATTATTTTGCGGTATTTGGCTGCCGAACGAAATCATGTACACAGCTTGCGACGTAACTAGGAGTCTAGTGGACGGTATCAGTACTAAAAGTAAAAAAATAAAAAATAATAGATATATATATTTTCTTTTATTAAATACGTTGTTTATAAATTAATCTGAGGGACGCAAAAAGAGGAGGCCCCCGGGCCGCCATTTGCCCATCCCTGATGTAGATGATGAAGAGGAGGGGGCCGAGTACTGAACCTTGGGGAACACCTTGGGTGACTGAGGCTGTGGCAGAGGAGTGGTTGTTGAGGGAGATGAAGTGGGATCTGTCGGAGAGGTAGGACTGGAGCCACCTGAGTGCAGTACCTTCGATACCAATGTCCTGGAGCAAGATTCAAAAGGCGTGATTGTAAAGGAAATATGTGTACAGTTCTGTTAAAGTTCTATAGGTGTCATGTGACCTGGATGCAAAACAACGCTTGTTTTAATCAAGTGGTGATGAACAATGATACCCTTGACGTTGTTTTGTCTAAAAGAAAAGGGTTAAGAAATGCAAGAAAGACGTGTAATTAAACAGCGGTAATTAAAGTTTAAAAGTCTCAAAAATGGAGGATGAAAGCGTAATTAAGGAGCACTATTGGAGTGACTTTGATGGTTATTGGACTCAGGATTAATTAATTTGGATGCCCGCTGTATGAAGAAATTAAAGGACGGCACAAGTGGAAACAATTCACAAGGGGAATAAACTGTTTAAAACACATGCTCAAAGTAAGCCGGATTTTGCCGATGTGTTTATGTGGATTAAAAAGTCGTAAATAATCTACAAAATGGAGGAGACCGATCTCCCCCAGGTTGGGAACCACTGCATTAGATGACTCGTAAACCTCTTTTAAAGCTCACCTATTTTGCTATATTTGAACAATATATTATAGGGCCATATCTATACAAAACATCTCTCTGAAGTGTTTTGAAAATACCAAACAGATCACCCATTCTAGCCATGCATCATACCCCTCTATTTCAGCCCTGTTACTTGTGCTGATTCTGGGTCTGGCCCTTTGTGTGAACTATTCATATCTTAAACTGCACTGTAACTTTTTATTCATGTACTTTTTTATTCATGTACTTTTTATTAATGTATTTTTTCTTTTAATGTTTCTTTTATTATCTAAAAAGGTCAAATGTCACTTGTTTTGCATCAATCTTGATACAGGGTACTTATTATATGTTGTACTTTGGATTCCTAAAGCTTTTAGTCTACTAACCCATCATCCAAGGGAGGTTTTCACTATAAGTAAAAAATAATTTTTGGACGGACACTATAATTTACAATTTTTTACTATGTAAAATCTGAATTTTCTTTAAAATTTTAAAAACATCTATATTGATTCTGACTTTTCTACTTCCAACTCACAGGTTTATCATTACTTTGAGAAAAAAGATTATTAATTTAACCCTTTTAGAAGGGAAGATATGGTCATTTGTTCTGGGAATGTCATTTTCGAGCCTGAGACCTGAAAAACAGGCTCAGGGCTTAACAGGTTAATGTGCACTGTCCCGGTTCAAATAAACAATTAAATTAAAAAATAAATGAAAAAGGAACAAACACCAAAAAGCCCCCTTCCCCTCTCTTCCCAACCAAATTTATAGGAGACTGCCCGCCTTCCCAATCCAACCTGGTCAATCAGGTCATGGTTCTGAAAGCGGAGTGAAGGGTTAAATACAAAATTAAATACTGTTGTCTACATTTAATAAAATCCTAAAGGCTTAAGTAAATTCATAATTGCATCAACATAAATATTGTACCTTCAAAAACAACAAGGTCTGCTTAAAACGGATAGTTTTTAACCAAATTGACATTCATAAAATCACACATTTCCTGACCAATCACGTCCAAGACTCCGCCTACTCATACGGCACATATAAGGAGTACTTTGGAGGCGTGCTCCCCCTTTGAGCACTGGCACAAGATGGCTTCCAGGTCTGAACAAAGGAAATGGTGATTACTTTGTGATTGTGTGTTTTACAGACTGACAAATTCATTTAGATGCATGTTATTAGTTTTTCTATGTAAACTGTTTTTATAACTTTAACTGAAATAAAGACAACTCTGATGAAAACATGTACTACCTTTCTTAACAAACAAATAGTTAAGCCAAAATGTTAGTGAGGGAGTGTGTGCGCTTCCTTTCTTTTAATGCGATTTGGGATTTGGGTACGGAGGAAAAGAAATAGGGTTTTGCTTTCCGACACTTTGTGAGTTTCCGGACACACCGGGGACACATATTTATTTATAAAAGACTTCAAAAAGTGCATTTTGCATAATAGGTGTCAACTAAAGTACGTGTCTGCTGATTGAAATCTTAAACGAGGGGTATATGCTCCAATTTATTTCTTAGATTGGCATAACACCCTTTGTGGAAATAGCTGTTTGTCCACTAATTGAATTGTTGTGTGTTATTCTCTCCCGTAGCTACCTGGGTCGGAGGAGGCTTCATTGTTGGCACAGCTGAGATGGTGTACCTGCCATCTATGGGTCTAACCTGGGCTATCCTGATGCTATTGGCATACAGCTCATCTTTTATTATATGTAAGTTTGATATTACATCTGACAGGATAAACAAATGTAGCCAGATAATATGAAATAGGTAAAACATTTAGATTTGTAATATTTAAAAATGAACTGAAGAAAATATCACTATTTAATAAAAATTGAATTTCTCTTTTCCAAATAGTTGTTACAGATATAAATTGTTATAAAAACAAAGTATTTAAAGGTATTATACATCTAGGGTTTTCTTTCACACCTCATATTCAGTTTGATTAATATTTAGTAGGTGATTTCAAACGCAGCCTAAGAAAATGTATATATTTAGTTTCTTTAATTGTGATGTTTTCTGTCCTCTTTTAATTTAAGGTGGCTTGGTGTTTGTAAAGCCGATGAGAGACAGAAACTGTGTGACGTTGCTGGACCCCTTCAATGCCAAGTATGGAAAAGTAGTAACTGCTGCACTGTCCCTGGCTTCAATTAGTTTGGATGTTGTCTGGTTACCCGGCACACTAATTGGTTTAGGTATGGTATATAGATTCTCTCTGTTAAAACACACACACACTGGTTTGGACAAAGATACATGGGCGTTGAAGTAAAAGCATATTTCACATATATACTACATGCTCACACACACACACACACACACACACACACACACACACACACACACACAACACACACACACACACACACACACACACACACACACACACACACACACACACACACACACACACACACACACACACACACACACACACACACACACACACACACACACACACACACACACACACACACACACACACACACACACACACACTTGAGCAGAGTCCTGCACGGGTCTGATTTCCCGCCCTGCGACGCGCAATACCGATCCCGCCCTGCCAACCACACCTAGATCACACAAGATCTGCAAACCGACCCGATCCGGCATATCCTATGAGCAGTGAAAGCATGCAATTATTAACACACGCAGTTGCGTAATTGGCTCTAAAAGCATGGGATGTTGGTTATTTTCTCCATCTAAGATGACACCAAAAGCCTCCTAGACTTTGGATTTCGCTCTTGAGGAAGAGTTATTGACAAGGCTATGTTTTTCGCTAGGGAGCTTCGCCTTCACCTCAGCCATTTAAAAAAAAAAAAAAAAAATACGACCCGCAAATCACCCGCGATGCAGGACTCTGACCTTGAGTGTGTTTCTTCAAAACAGGGCCACACTGGATAAGCCCAGAGGAAGACCTAGCCATTTGAGGATATAGTTGTTGGCTCCTATCTCCAGTGCTGTTGTTAAAGATTTCTCACAGTTTCAACGGCCACATCAGGCGTCGGTACAAAGTGAACTGGCTATGGTCAACCCAGTCTGCCATGAAAGAGGAAGACGTGTTTTTTGTCTGAGAGATCAGCAGTATACAACCTCCCAACATTCTGTACAGATTGCTCTGCCACTCGTGGAATCTTCTCCCGATCAGAGAAGGATATTTGTAATTCTTAGCCCCTTTTTTATAATTTGACAAAAACGTAAGACTTGTCCAGTTTGATTTAGATTCTTGCCCATATGATGAGCTCTTTCAGTCTTCTCCGGAGTCTCCAGAGTAGCTTTAGAACCATGGAGAAAGCCATCCAGGTGATGATGCAGATTACTTTCTCTACCGCCTGCATTTTCGCTGTCCACTTGAGTGGTGCCGTGTCTAATTGGGAAGGCCCAATTGGGCCCAAGAGGGATTTTCTTGTTGCTGTTGCCAAGTTGTTCTTCAATGTGGTTTTTCAACTCCTACACAGCTTTCATAAGCTTCCCTGTCTTCTTCTCCTCCAGCAGATCTCTGGCATACTTGAAGGGGTCCCAGAACTAGTCTGCTCATGCCTTCTCTTTTCTACCCAAAATGTTTCCAAATCAGTTCTCCTCAGGTTTGTGAGCCTGGCTTTTATCGGATCAAGGAGTGCCATAAGGCCTTCATTCTAACCCTAACCCCAACCTTCCTGTTCTTTGGCTTGCCTCCAACCTAAGCATTATCGTTTCCTGCATCATTCTTGTTTGGGAAAGTTGTTGTCAAAGCTAGATTTTGAGACCTCTTCTTTCTCAACTAGACGCTTCTACGGGCCATTACTTATGGTAAACTATCACCATCACCATCACTATGCAGACGACGTACACTATAACATAGTCTTCCTCAGGTCTTCAGCCAATAAACCTGGTGTTTGTTATGGCCAATCCCTGACCAACACAGTCCAATAACACAGTTTATAACATTGTCCTGATACAATGTGTTTGACAGGAGGAACCATGAGTGTGGTCCTGGATTTTCCCTTCAGTGTGTGCGTATGGATCTCTGCTGCCGTCGCCATTATCTACACTCTGCTGGGGGGTCTCTACTCGGTGGCCTACACAGATATTGTACAGCTTATCCTTTTATTCATCAGCTTGGTGAGTTTGCTACTCGCTACTCAGTTTATGGGGACCACATCACCGAACCCACTATGGCAAATTCGGTGCATCAAAATCATAATTCATGTACAACAACTGTCCGTGTCTCCACAGTTCTGTGTGTTTCTATTTACATATTTTTCTGTCCCTGCAGTGGATCTGTGTTCCCTTTGCTTTGATGAACCCCCACGTTTCGGACATTAGTCAGACACTGATGAACAACACCCTGCACACTCCCTGGATAGGATCACCCGAGCTGAAAAAGACCTGGATACTGATTGACGATTTCTTATTCATGGTAAGGAAGTGGATAATTACAAACACAATTCACGTTAATAAAAAAATATTAACCAATTTACTGTTTTGACTTTAAGGCCCTGGGGAGTCTGGGATATCAGTGCATTCATCAGAGGACTTTGTCGGCATCGTCCACATCGACAGCAAAGACCACTTGCTTTTTTTCGGCTTTCTTCCTGCCTATTTTGGGGATTCCTTCAATACTTTTTGGGGCAGCTGCTGCCTCCACAGGTAACAACTGTTTCTAAATACTGAGGGAACCTGTGAAAACTGATGTCTTTAAGCACCTGTCATATTCCTATGGTTTGGTTCTGGATTTCCTGTTTCCCTCCTAGTCCTCCGGGTTTGTTCTAGTTTTGTTTGCTACTTTTCCTTTTGTTCTACTTCGCCTGTTTCTTCAGTTTTTATATTTTTATACCAGCTTTTAAGTTACTAAAAGCTCACCTTGTGTTTACATTCTTACTGCTTTTGGGTCCTTACTCTTTCCAAACCCTGACAAGAACTGCCGAATAACATAGTTTAGAAAACCAAACTAAGAAACACTTATATCTTTTTATGGACTGCAGGCTTTAGCAAATGTGCTAGAAAAGAAGATATATTTCAGCAAAATGCAATTTGAAAAGTTGACTTTGTTCAACACCTCACATAATATATATTCACATAACAGTAGGCTTGTCTCAGAATCTCACAGATAATGTGAGCCTTTTTCAGTCTCTCCTTCTTCTGTGTCCATGCTTTAGACTGGAACATGACTTCGTACGGTTCTCCGTCTCCATATGAACGTGGGGAATCAGCTCTAGTTCTGCCCCTCAGCCTCCAACATCTCACTCCTTCCTTCATCTCCATCATCGGTATTGGAGCTGTGGCCGCCGCCGCGATGTCGTCCCTCGACTCCGTTTTGCTTTCTGCAGCTTCTGTCTTCACCTCCAGCATTTACAAGAACATCCTGAGACCCCAGGTGAAGAAAATTTATACTTATTTCGGTGTGGTACATTACAAAGAAAGCTACATGAGAATAGTTGATTGATAGTTTAGTTTGTACTTTGCAAAAAAAGGAATGGACTACAGGAGAATCATAGAGTGGTATGATAGAAAACAAGATAATATGAAGAATCAATGAGATATGAAAGCAATAAAATAGTTATTTAACCTGTTAAGCCCGAGAGACCCCGGTACCGGGGCACTGCCGCAACATCATGCAGGAAACAGTGTCTGAGGGCATGTTCATGTAATAAACTATGAATGTTTTATATCCATGTAACGGGAAGAAACTCATCTAACTGATCATTTTTTTTTTTTTTTCAAAAGAAAACCCACAATGCTAACACTGAGCCTCTGAATTAGCAACGAGCGAAACAGATTACTGCACCGAAAATCACTCACAAAACCTTATTATTTATCTTTTCTCCAGATCCATGACATCGATTCACATCGTGAGGTGACACAGAATCCATTAACACCGACATTACCACTGAATTATACGAATTTGCGACGTTATAAACAAAAACAGACATCAAAACAGGTGACGCTAGGTAGCTAAAAATGCTAACATTTTTACCTTGGCTCTGTAGTCTCTCCAAAGTGGTCTTCAATGGCATTAAAACGATAAAAACGCTGCTGAAGTTAATCCATAGGTTAATCCAATGTGTCTGTGTCCCTTTTAAATGATTTCTGATAATCCATGAGCATTAAGACGGATAATCCATGCTTTTACGTTTCTAGATGTCAGAGCTAGACTGTAGCTTCACTCTAATTCAAAATTACATGCTTAAAGCCCCCACCTTTTTGTTTCACTATGAGTGTGTGTGGGGGACTCCCCCTTCGATTCTATTGGCTCTATCGGTCAGAAAGAGGTGTCAACCATCAAAATCGACCAATGAGTTCCAGAGATATGAAAAAAAAAAGATTTCCACTCAAATCACCTCAGAGGTGGAGTGTTTTTTGCTAAATCTCTCTAAAAAGGTCAAATGTCACTTGTTTTGCATCAATCTTGATACAGGGTACTTATTATATGTTGTACTTTGGATTCCTAAAGCTTTTAGTCTACTAACCCATCATCCAAGGGTAGTTTTCACTATAAGTAAAAAAGAATCTTTGGACGGACACAATCTTTAAAATAAAAAACACCTATATTGATTCTGACTTTTCTACATCCAACTCACAGGTTTATCATTACTTTGAGAAAAAAGATTATTAATGTAACCCTTTTAGAAGGGAAGATATGGTCATTTGTTCTGGGAATGTCATTTTCGAGCCTGAGGCCTGAAAAACAGGCTCAGGGCTTAACAGGTTAAAAAAGGACAGTCTCAATAATGTGCTGTTTATCTGTTCTTCTTCCTCTCTTCTTCTTCTTCAGGCGTCGGAGAGGGAGATCCAGTGGGTGATCCGAGCCTCCGTGTTGGTCGTGGGCGTGTTTGGTTCATCGCTTTCCTTCCTGAAAAACAGCATCTTATTGTTCTGGTTCATCGGAGCTGAAATCGCCTACGTCATACTCTTCCCTCAACTCGTCTGCGTCCTCTTCGTCGACATCTCCAACAGTTACGGGGCTGTTATGGGCTTGTTGTTGGGAATAATGGTACGACTGCTAAGTGGAGACCCATCACTAGGGATCGCACCAATCCTACACTTCCCAGGATGCACTCTTGAGAACGGTGTTTACGTCCAGTACTCTCCAGTTAAAACCATCTCCATGCTTTCGGCCATTGCTGTCATCTTGTTGTTCTCCTACCTGACTTCTGTGCTCTTCAACAAAGGCCATCTTCCTGAGAAGTGGGATGTGTTTAAAGTGAAAACCCAGCACTCATTGCAACCAGACACACCAACAGATGGCGCTACAGAGCATAATGAGAGTGAGAAACTGAATGGAAGCAACTCTCAGACAGAGGCATCAACGCTAATGGCTAGCACAAACTGTTAGCATTCCTGTGTGTATAAGATAAGATAAGGGCAACCTCCTCTTTGTCGTGGAGGGGTTGATCCTAATCCAAAACATGGCAATCAGAAGCACAAATAGGTTTTAGGTTTGGGTTTCGGCCTTGCAATGGGGAAGATAGCGGTTGCGGGTGATGATCAATAGAGTGCTAACTCCTGGGACGGCTACAAACATTTAATTTGGGATTTTTTTGGTTTATTTCAAGCCCTTAGGCATTGTGCTAAACACTTTTGCACAGTGCATGAGGTGCTTGTTTGTGTAAATGTAAGGTACAACTGTTATTCCAATGTGATTTAAAACAAACAAGACTCATGTGAATTTGAAACCTTTGAAGCAGTTCACACTAAGGACACAATGAGTGACGTTGTTTTATATGTATGCTTTTTTCTTGCTGAATCCATATGCCATAAACGAGATATGTATAATTGCAAATAAAATGTCTGAAAAAGGTTCCAAGTATTTAATGTGCTCTTGAGTTGAAAAAAGGTTTGTTGAATTGGTTGCAGGTTGCAGAAGTGGTTTTCAATTAAATCTGGAGAACAAAACACAACTCCTTCCTTGTTGTTATTGTTGTTGTTGTTGTTGTTGTTGTGAAGGATCATTCTGGTGATGCTGGAAAAAGAAAGTGGCGTCCTGACGTAGATGGACTCGGGATCTGCGCGGTGGAAAAACGGCTGACTGGTTTGCAAAGATCTACCACCTGCTATCAAACTGGCACCAGCACAAGTGTAGCTCCTTTCAGTGGAAAAGGGTTATTAGTGAAAGATAATAGTATGGACTGGTAGCTGGATAGGTGCTAGTTCGCCTCCTGGTCCCTGCCGAGGTGCCCTTGAGCAAGGCACCGAACCCCCAACCAGCCTGCATGCGCACGTGTGCAACATACCTGTGTACTCTGTGGTTAAAACGATGTATGTAAAAACCCCTAGGGGGATATCTAAAGGTTCATCTTCATCTTAAAATATAATTTTTCGTAGACAGTGATAATCAAAAGCATGTATCAAAATACGCGACTTGGCAGTAAGGCATGTGTTTAAAGGGTTTAGATTAGCCTCATGTCCCCATGCAGCAGACATGACAGCAAACCAGTCATTTCAGCTCCACGTCCGTTACTTGCTGGCAGCCTCTTGCACTTGCTATCCTTTTTATTTAGCAGAAAAACTAAAGTAGACCCCAGCAAAGGTGTTCCTTTTAATGCTGTGATTGACAAAATGTGTTTTGCTTTGTGTTTTTCGTTATGGGTGTGACTTATCAAGTATTACACTTTGCTCAGGCATTTTACCAGAGGGCATTGACGTTTGAAAGGTTTCCATTAAACCGGTTTGTCTTCTTGATTTACTTCAGTCAGCCAGACGTCAGCTAGTAGGCATTGTGCTAAACACTTTTACAAAGTGCATGAGGTGCTTGTTTGTGTAAATGTAAGGTACAACTGTTATTCCAATGTGATGTAAAACAAACAAGACTCATGTGAACATAGAAACCTTTGAAGCAGTTCACACTAAGGACACCATGAGTGCTGTTGTTTTATATATATTTTATATTTCTTGCTGAATCCATATGCCATAAACGAGATGCAAATAAAATGTCTGAAAAAGGTTCCAAGTATTTAATGTGCTCTTGAGTTGGAAAAAGGTACGTTGAATTGGTTGCAGAAGTGGTTTTCAATTAAATCTGGAGAATAACACCAACAGGAACACAACTTCTTCCTTGTTGTTACTGTTGCTGTTGTGAAGGATTATTCCGGTGATCATATTCACATGCAGCAAACATGACAGCAAATCAATCATTTGAGCTCCACGTTCGTTACTTGCTGGCACTTGCTATCCTTTTTATTGGCAGATTAAACTAAAGTAGACGCCAGCAAAGATGAAGGCGTTCCTTGTAATGGTGGGATCAACATCACTGATAAACAAAACAAGTCGATGCTTGTCAAGTGTTAAGCTTTGATCAGGCATTTACGTCAGGTAAAAAATAAGAAAAGATTTGAATTAGACCGGTTTTCTTCTTGATTTACTTCACTCAGTCAGCCAGACGTCAGCTAGTAGGGGAGTCAGTCAGCATCTATCATGGCTGTTAACATCCCAGGATTGATAGCCATGGTGATTTTCTACCTGCTGGTTCTTGGGACCGGCATCTGGGCTTCTTTCAAGTCCAAAAGGGAACAGAAGAGAAGCGCAGCCACTGGGATGGATATGGCTCTGCTGGGAAACCGGAGCATTAGCTTGGTGGTGGGGATCTTCACAATGACAGGTGAGGAGGAAAACTGGAATTAAACAGGGCGGGTGAGAGAGGCTGGGCCGGCCCGTAGCACTGGCGTTATAGATGTTCGCCAGATCTGGGGATGCGCTGCGCTGGTAGCTCTGGGAGGGAAACACTTTTTTTTTTACCGTTGGTGCTCATCCTAATTTTCGGCCTTGATGTAACAATATTCATAATTAAGAAAATGTAACCCTTTTCCCCCTGGTTACACTTTTCATTTGCCCTGTACGATGGGCGCTGTAAGTGATGAAAATGGGGGATGTTGGCTTATCAGGCGCCCGCAGCTCACAGCCAAAGGGCGAGTGAGCGTGGGAGCGCACCGGTACCGGTGCTGTTGTTATTATAATCTGGTGCTAGCTGCTCTAACGGATATAAGAAGAAGATGTTTCTACAATAATGTGGAGGGAGAGTCCTCTCCAGTCAGACTGAGAGGCTGATAACTACAGCTCAGTGAGGTATTGTTACGAACTCAGAAACTCAAGGTATAGGACCCAATTGCACGACCCAGGAGACAGAGGTAAAGTATTTGTAAGATACTTTATTTTCAAAAGAAGAACAGAAATAAACTATCAAATCTCTAGGATGAGATGACAAAAAGTGAACAAAAGAAAATCGCTCACGTAGTGAGGAACAAAAACATCTTGGTATCAAGGAGAGCATAGATCTGACCTAGGCATGAGACAAGACGAACTGACAATGAACACCGGGAGACTGGGGAATTTAAACACACGACAACAAGACACAGGTGGAAACAATCAGGGGCGGGGCTGGTGCTGATGAGCACGGGAGACACACAAGAGGTAGATAATCAGGAAGCCTGGAATGACAGCTAAATGATGAGTGACAAAACAAACATAAAACAACATGAAAATGAAACTCCCTTAACATTTCTGTCGGTGCACAACAGGTAAAGGACTCTGAGGGTTTAGATAGTTCACTTTAGTCTAAGTTATCTCAGTGGGTCTCAAACGGTTTGATCACAATTTATGTAAACACATATTTCCAAGGCACTCCTTTGTAATTATTGGGATGAACAGGTTTGAAATCATTTCAATGTATACTATAGGACAGAAACCAAAAATATCCTTTAAAACTGGAGAGATACAAAAATATGCATAAATAAATGTTAACTAGGTAAAATAAGATATGATGAACATCAAAAATAAAATAAGTTACATTCATTTGTTATTGGCTATGGTAGGTGATTGGTTATTAAAATGTAAACCGATCTTTTTCATATGGGTGTTTAGAGTTGTACCCCCTAGATCTAGTAGTAATTATGCTCAAAGTGCACCAGATTGAAGCATTTTACTTTATTGCGTATTCCTTGGATACTCTATTGATCTTTATCTTTTCTACTGTACGATTCTCTGGCTGGGGGCGGGGGCGCCAGCTAAAATCTCGCCTAGGGCTGCAAATTGTCTAGAGCCAGCCCTGGAGAGAGGGACAGAGTTTTGCAATATTGCGGAGGTGGAAAAATGAGGTTTTAACTACTTGGCGGATGTGGGGCTCGAGGGAGAGGGTGGGGTCAAATATTACGCCAAGGTTGCTTGCCTGGGTGGAGGGGGAAACAGGGGTGCCATCGATGGTAGTGTCTTGTTGGAGGTTTTGCTGAGGGTGGATTTAGAGCCGATGAGGAGGAGTTCAGTTTTATTGATGTTGAGTTTGAGGAAGTTGTGTAGCATCCAGGATTGTATTGCACTCAGACAGGAGTCGATGTGGGTGAGGGGGGGCTTGTGGGGGGATTTGGTGCTGAGGTAAATCTGGGTGTCGTCGGCGTAACAGTGAAAGTCCAGGTTGTAGTGGCGGAGAATCTGACCAAGGGGGAGGATGTCGATGATGAAGAGGAGGGGGCCGAGTACTGAACCTTGGGGAACACCTTGGGTGACTGAAGCTGTGGCAGAGGAGTGGTTGTTGAGGGAGATGAAGTGGGATCTGTCGGAGAGGTAGGACTGGAGCCACCTGAGTGCAGTACCTTCGATACCAATGTCCTGGAGCAAGATTAAAAAGGCGTGATTGTAAAGGAAATATTTGTACAGTTCTGTTAAAGTTCTATAGGTGTCATGTGACCTGGATGCAAAACAACGGACACAGTTTTAATCAAGCAGATGTATTGATAGGTCTGTTGATACAAATATTCTTAATTTTGCTGTAGTTGAGTTCCTACACAAACAACCCAAAAAAAAAACCTGTTGAAATACGAGCTGTGAAGAATGTGAGTTTGATAAGTGGCTGAAGGCTATGGTCAGGAATGAGGAATGAGAAAACAACTCCTTGAAGTTGTTTTGTCTAAAAGAAAAAGGGTTAAGAAACGCAAGAAAGACACCATTATTCCACACATTCATTCATGTGGGCACAATGTAAAAGCATTGTCACTTAGTTTGATTTATTTAACTAGAAAACCATTCAGATAATTTGTTGGAAAAGTAAGGCCATTCGTAGTGTGCATCATGCCAGAGTTATTCATTAAATGATTCGCAAACCTCTCTTAAAGTTCACCTATTTTGCTTTATTTTAACAATATATTATAGGACCATATCTATACAAAACATCTCTCTGAAGTGTTTTGAAAATACCAAACAGATCACTCATTCTAGCCATGCATCATACCCCTCTATTTCAGCCCTGTTACTTGTACTGTTGCCTGGCCTTGTTCCATAATTAAAGAAGTTTTTGTTTTCAACCAATCTTCTGCATTTGGGTCCTGTTATACTTTACCGCCCAACCGTGACAGGTATATGGTCAAACTTTTTCTTAGGCCCCGGCCCCACGGGGACGCATACAGTAGTTTCCGTTACCGTTTTGTGTCATATAGACAGTTCGGCCACACTAGGACGACAGAATATGGCAGTAAACGACTATGGTAGCGATAACGGGTCCCAAGGTGGATAGAACGGCATACGCAATGCTCTGGGGGGTCCAACGGCTCCGTGTGTACGACCTATACCAGGGGTGCCCAACCAGTAGATGGGGAGATTCCCAGTCGATCGCGAGATGTGTCTAAAAATAGAACAACAATATTCTGTTTTATCGTTAATGTCCTATAACATAATCTTCCTGTGCCAGAATAATGCACTTGAACCAAGCGGCAAACTCTGGGGAAGAGCCGGGACGCCAATACGGAAGTGCCACAAACTGCAGTTCATATATTGGCCGATAGGCACTGGCTGCAGAAAGGAGCAATTTCCATAGAC